TCAGTTTTTATAAAACCATCATCAGGTGTAAATTATTTACGAACTTAAAACTCAAATATGATTCCATTTGGTGATGTTTCATGCCATTTGTTTTTCAATTTTGGGCGAGGTGTTGTCTTTTCTTAAATTTTATCAGATGTACATATCGGTCATAGATGTAGGAGTGATTGTTCCGATATGTCCAGAAGTACGACTGTCATTGTATAGGTGTGGGTCAATACTGTTGTTTGCCTTCATTTTGAAACTTCGCGTCTCACGAGCTGTGTGGACTTCGCCGACGTAGTCCGGGAATTCAGGAGATTACCAGTTTGTTATTGAGCTGTTTCATATCTGGAAATTACAGGTAAATAATTTCCTGTGAGTTTCTGATCGTCGTTTTGTTAACTTGTCAGGATACGTGTCTTATTGATAATCTTGAGAGGAAGTCGGTAACTCTTAGCGATTCCGATACGGTACGCTTTACGGCCTCACTAACTAGCAGACCCAGTATTGTAATGGACTGTTGTTGTAGGAAACGGAAATGGGGGATTTCGTGGGAAAACGGCCAGTTCGAACACCGAGAAGCAAATTCTTATTGTCTCTCTTTTTACGCTGAACGTCCTGTTGATGTTAATATAGCGTTGGAGATGATATGGTACGATATTGACGGATGATAAACTGAGGGGTGGGGGTGCGGGTTGTGAACAACCGTGTCAATGTGTAATGAATCTCCAAAGTTTCTTGCAACGATTATCTTTAAATAGACTGTTAATATTCAAAATTGAAACTGTAAACCATGAGATTGTTCAGTATCGTACACTTTTTTTTTTAATCGATGCTGGCAATTACGTGTCCCCCACTTTTTTACGGAGATGAGGGGGGATTAATTGGGAACATATAAAAATTCCCGCCTTGCCGAACAAATTTTGTGAGCTACGACTCAGGTGTTTTTTTCCCCCCTAATCGTAATGCATTTACGTACATTTATAAAACAGTGGATGTCCCAATTTGAGATATGTGGGTCTGCGTGAGAATTGGGTTCTGAGATAAATGGGATATCTAAGAGAAGTGCGTGGTTTAGTAGCACAGACAAGGCGGCACTCACCCAATGAATTACACCGCACGGAAGAAGTTGATCAAGGAGGAAGCCGATAGCCTAACACATTAAGAAGATAATACAGGGCTAGTCTAAATGATGTCCCCGATTTTAAACACGTGTTACCCACGTTTAATGAAATTCAGATGCACAAAATTGATACCGATGGAAATAGAAACTCTCCAAGTTTTGTTTCGGTACATCACAGGTGTTCAATGTAAGCCCCCTTGGAAACTCTTGGTGTCCTCGCAGACACGTTGCGGCAATGATCGACTGCTGCAGTGGCACGCAGATCAAGCAAGGTCTGTGGTGAGGGTGGCACGAAGACTCTAAATTGACGAACCCCCACAGAAAAGAATCACAGGGCGTCAGGCCCGGTGAACGTGGGGGCCAACGCAGAAGTTCATCATCATCAGGACCAGCACGGCCAATCCATCTGTTTGGTAGTCTCGCAATCGCCCCTGGCGGCGAACAGTGTTACTACGCGGCCGCGAAGTA